AGAGGGACTCTCTCAGCCTGATTGGGAATGGTGAGGGCCAAGGGGCCAGCTCTTCCCTCGGTGATGTCACCGGGGGTTGCCCCCTTCCCACTGGCTTGTCCTCTGAGGAGAACCCTCATCTCACACTTACCCCTGGGAAAGTAATTTCACCTGACGACCTTCAAGGCCCACCTGTGGGATGGGGGCAATGAGCATAGCACCTGTGGGTGGGGGGCCGGCACGGGTGTCGATGTCCAGTAGGCAGGTCAGAGGTGTTTAGTCATGATCAGAATCCCCGCAGAGCCCCGGTTTCCTGAGGAGTAAACAGGCTGGCCTGGGGACCCTCTAGCTTCGGTTTCCTGAGCCACAGCACACACAAGGCTGCCTGCGCCCCAGCCTGCCCCCCTCCGTCCAGCCTCTGGCTCTCACATGCAGGCTTCCTGTGCCTCCATCCGGCAGACATGCCTAGCGTGCCGAGGCCTTGGCCCGGTGGGGGCTGGAGGAGGGGCTCAGTGCTCTCGTGTGCAAGCATGCTCGCCTGTGGACTGTGTGCTGTGTGGGATGGAGCTGCGGGGGCACTGGGTCAGAACACACTGCTGGGTGGGGGAGGAGCGGGCTGGGGCCCCGCTGCTGAGTGGGAGAGACTATGGGAGGCTGTCTCTGTGGCAGGACAGCTTGGGGGAGAGACACAGAAAGATAAGGAAGTCAAGGCACATTCAGCACCAAGCCGTCTAATGGCTTGGCAAGAGAATCATGGCTTCCGCCTCCCCTGGAAGGCAGCGCCTTGGATCAGTGAACAGACTGCACAAGTGAACGTGGTGACCCTGACATTGAAAGGACAGAGAGAGGCAGAAACTCAGAAACTCTCTCTCTCTCTCATCTATCTATCTATCTAAAGACAAAAGGGAAAGAATCCAAGAACTGGGGAGTTTGGGAGCTAAGTGTCCTCAGAGGGATGCTCCTGGTCTGAGGGTTTGTCCCAGGGAGGGTGCTAGACCCAGCCTTCCCAACCCTCACAGACGCCCTGGGAAAGGGGGCGAGGAGGGGCTGCTATCCCATTTTACAGATGAAGCTATAGAGTCTCGTGGGCTTCAGTGACATGGCTGAGGTCACGTAGCCCGCTAGTGGCAGAGCCGGTCCTGGTCTCTGGATTCCTCCGTGGAAGGGCCCAGCAAGAGAGAAGTTGAGGCAGGGAGCGGGAGCGGGAGCCGGGCGCTGGTGGAGGCGGAGGGCTCTGGAGCAGGATCCAGGCGTCTTCATGTCCCATCCATCCCCTCTGGCTTGGAGATGTGCCTGGCAGGCGGCCCATCCTCCTGGGGATCAGGTTCGGGGAGCCTGCCCTCCCACCCCCATTTCCTTTCTCTGTCAGCGTCTGCGGCCCCGTCCTCATTCCGGGATCATCCTGGGGGTTCTTCAGGGAAAAATTTTAAAAAAACCAAAACACCCAAACCCGTTTTTCCTGGAATTAATACCCGATGGGCAGGATGATGAGAAATGGGGCAGGGGCGGGCCCTGCTGGGTACAGGAGGAGGGGGATAGCATGGGGTGAGCACCTCAGATGTGGGCTCTCGACCCTTCAGCTCTATTCACTCACTTAGCCCCCACCCCCTCACTAGCCCTATAAAACCCCCAGACCAGACTCCCTGCCGTCATCAAGCCAATGCTGTCAGAGAGCCACTCCTGTGGGTTTCCGTGTCTTTCTCCTGAGGGGCGGTTGGTGGTTTTGAACTGCTGACTTTCTGGTTAGCAGCCTAGAGAGGAACCCACTATACTACCTGGGCTCCTCTTAAGGGAGGTTCTATTACCATCCTCATTTTACAGGGAGGGCCCATCCCCATCCAAGGCCACACAGAGAACTGAGCCACAGAGAGGGCCCTAAATCATCCAAGGCCACACAGCCAGTTAGTGGCAGGACTGGGATTCACACACAGGTGTGGAGGAGGAGGAGGCAGGTGCTGGGGATGCAGGACCCAGGCTTTATGCTGTGCTGCTTTCCCAAGAAGACAAGCTGTAAAGACACAGGTGGGGAAGTCCCTCCTGTTATCCCACTGCCATCCCTCCCACTCTTGCTCTCTGCCTTCTGTAGAAACGGATCCATCCCCTCCTGCGTATCAGACTTTCTAGCCCCTCAGCCCCAGAGGGGTATGGGACACAGGGAGATAGAGAGGGGTCCTCAGCAGAGGGAACCAGCTGGGCTTTGAGCAGGGGCTGGGGGAGGGGCCTAGAGGGTTGGGCATTGAGTGTGGTCTTGAAGGCAGAGCGGCCTGGGCTGCTGGGGCCTGGGGGCCTGGCCGGGAGCCCAGGCGGTTTGCTTCTCGAGGTGGATGAGGGGAAAAGTGTCAGCTCATTCCTGACTGTAAACACAATCCGGTTCCCACGCCTCCAACGAGCTCTGGTGGTATTCTCCACCCTCTCCCCTCTCCTGGCCAGCCTCCTGCCGGGGTCCCCCCCCATAAAGAAGCCTATTCTAAAGAGATGCAGAACCCTTGGACCCACTGGGGAGCTGCTGCCAGCAGCCTGGACTGGGGCCTCCTCTCTGACATTGCTAGCTGTGTGGCCTGGGGCAGGTTATTTACCCTCTCTGTGCCGGTTGACACATCTGCCCGGTAGGAATAATCTTGCCTGCCAAGGTGGGCTGATGTAAACTGCTGAGGCGGTGGTCCAAGCAGGCTGCCCCGTGCTCCGCCTGACCCAACCGCAGCAAATGACACTCGGGGGGCCTTGAAAAGTGTGCGTGGGAGGATGGGTGGGCAGGCGGGGGGGATTCGTGATCTTTTCATTTGTTTTGTACAACAGCCACGTTGTTATTGTGAGGGAAGTTGTTTCAAGCCAGACGGGCGGAGGAAGGAGGGAGAGAAGGTATCTGAACTGGAAAAGAGGGGACCTGGCCTACAGAGGGGAGGTCAGGACGCTGTGTGGACCCAGTGAGTGAGGCCCCAAGGCAATGTGGGCCTCAAGGCACAGTGGGTATCGAGAGTCTGATGAAAAACCCTTGAGTGAGCTGTCTATTGGAGAAGGGCCACTCCCCTGGCCCTGGGAGTGAGGGTTGTTGGGACAGGTAAGGCCGGACTTCCAATGGCCTGGGCCTGCAGGGTCAAGGCTCAGATAGAAACAAGCCAGGAAGCTCAGCTGGAGCTCTGGGCCCTGTGTTGGCCTGTCTTCCCTGGAGGTGGACAGGCTACACCCTTCCCATCCCTGCCAGGGCCGCATCCCATTTCCCCACTCCCTACCGACCACCCACTGGTCTCCCCTGACCCCACCCTGGCTTCCAGCCCCAAGGCTGACCAGCTGACAGCCTCCCCCATCGTTCCAGCCCTGCCCAAGGCCCTTTGAGGGAAACAACCTACCCAACTCCAGCCAGCTAACCCCGCAGTCAGCCAGAGGGTGGGTGCTGGATCCCTCCTCCTGCTCTCCCCTCCCCATCCAGGGGCATGGAGCCCCAGGTGGATGGTGGACTGGACGTTTCCTCTAGCAGTGGTTGGGGGAGGTGAGGGCAGGTATGAGTGAGGGGCAGGACCGCCTTACTCAAGCCCAGACCCGCTGCAGGTTTGTGCACACTCCCCCACCCATCCCAGTGGCCTCGAGCTCTAGGGACAGGTTTGGGGACCCTGTGTGTCTTAGGAGATGAGGCTCACTCTGGGACAAGGGAGACCCTGCTGGGCCCAGACAGGCTGGGCTCCCATCTGAGGACAGGGTCATGCCAGGCCCGGAGAGTGCGGTTCTGGAAGAGGGCAGTGAAGACTGAGGGACGTGGCCAGGGAGGTGTGTGCCCCAGGCCCCTGACTGCCAAGAAGCCTTGAGGCTAAGATGGGGAAGGGGGCCTAGAGGTGGGCACTGGGCTTGGAAAAGCAGCTAGCGCAAGGCAGGCTGCGAGGGGGCAGAGGAGGATGGGAGGAGACAGACTGGAGAGAGTGGGTCAGACTCCCTTCGAGGGAGGACCCCTGCTCAGCACAGGGCATGAGCCCCTGGTAAGAGGCTCTGGCTCCTGCTCTATGCCCTACCTCTGGCCCCTCCAGCCCCCCACTCATGCTCCTTTCTGCTCCCCTCAGTGTCCCCTCCCACCACTGTTTCCTACTCCTGCTGTTTCCTATTTTCAGCCTTCCTATCCTGAGCCCTGGGTCCCCTGGGACGCGCTTCGGGGCTGGGCCTGCTGCGCCCCTCCCTGGTTCACCTGAGTCTCCCAGGCCCCAGGATGCCCTAGAGGCCTGGTGAGTTACCTGGGACTGAGGATGGGTGGGAGGAAACTAGCAGTAGAGATTTGCCCTGAGGGCTGAGATGGGGCGCTGGAACCTAAGGTGGGAGGGAGGAAGTACATTGTAGGTGGGGGGCTTTTTTTGGGGGGGAAGGGGGGATAGTCAGGTCAAGGAGGGTGGTGTTCAGTCGGGGGACTACTGCTGGAGGTGGGATTTTGAGTGTGCCATCGATGGGGTTAAATGAGTCTATCTCTTCCTCCAAGATTTGGCTGTGGGACCCTGGGAATGTGTGGGTGGGGGGCGTGGGGTGGGGCCAGGAGGCAGGCATTCCAGAGATACTCAGGGGGGTAAGGGGCCAGTAACCACGACCTTTCCCTCTTCTCAGAAAAATTACAAGCAGATGTGGGTGCCTCAGGAGGTCCAGAGCAGGGAGCCAGGGCAAGACTTGGGAACACCAAACACGGAATTGGAAACCAGCGTGGGGGTGGGGCTGCCGGATCTCTGGTCGCCTCAGAGCCCTGGGGAACTGAGGGAAGGGTTCTCTGGGGTCCGGATCCTCCTCCCACCCACAGCCCCAGCAAGGCCAGGGGTGGAGGAGATGGCCAGTGGGGCCCATCTCCAAATGGCTGATGGTGGTCTGCAGTCGGGGAGAGGGGGTAATCCCTCCTGACTGAGGCCCGATTGGGGACCTCCTCAGGTGACACCTCATAGAGCCGAGGGTGGTGATGAGCTGGCAAGGGTCAGCTCTAGGATGTGCATGGGGTGGGGTGAGGTGGGCTGGTTTGGGGTGTTTGCTGCTTTCTGTGGGATAAATACAACCCCCCCCCCACACACACACCACCAGCAGCCTGATTCTGAGCTGCCCATCAAGTGTGGGGGTAAGGAGAGAGATGGGGACAGTTGGCTGTCTCCAGCCTGCACACCACTGATTAGAAAGGACTTCTTTCAAGCACCTGGGACCCAGCCCCATTCAGGGTCCACCACAGCCTTGCCCCCAGGGAAGGGAGGGCACTCCTGAGCCCCAGCTGCTCAGAGAGAGCCCTGCCCCCTTCCTGGCCTCCAACATGACCTCAACTTGCTGGTTCTCCTTTCATGCCTTGGTATAAATATTGAAGCTCCCGGTCAGGCCCTGGGCTGAGGGCGGGGGACTCAGAGATAGAGTCCCTGCCACCAGAGGCTGTGGTCAGAGAACCGATATTACAACACCGGTGACTGCAAGTAGGGGGCACCTGAGCCACTTCTTGGAAGCTCTCTCCACTGACTTCAGCCCTCAGGCTCCTGGCTGCAGTACCACTGCCCCCTGCTGCTCTGCGCCTGACTCGACTAGTTGAAGGCCCCTGCAATGTCACCACCCCTGAATCCCCTCCTCCTCCTGGCCTTGGGCCTGAGACTGGTGGGATCCCTCAGCCCCAACGACCCCAATGTGTGCATCTTCTGGGAAAGGTGAGTGCGTGTCCTGTTGTGCCTTCCCAGCACCTGCACTGTGCCCGCTCCTGGCTTCTCTCTCCCCATGCCCCCTCTCCCTTCTTTATTTCTCTTGGTATTCCCTCTCTGGGCTGTCAGAGAACTTCTTCCTGACTTGGCCTCATTCTCTGTCCCATCTCTAACCCAGTAAGTTTTCTGTCCCCAGCCACTGGCCCCTGTGGCAGGCTGACTGCAGGGCAGGGAGCAGGGTGGGGGTCACTCACGGCCAGGGTGGGTGGGTGGGGAGGCCAGGGCTGGGCAACAAGGTCCAGGGCAGAAGTGGGCCTGCAGGGCCTCCTCCGCCCACTTCCAGTGGCCCCAGAAGCCTGTTCTAGCTTCATCTCCTCAGACAACAGGCAAACTGAGAGGGGGATGGAGGAGGGGAGGGAAGGGGAGGGGAAGGAAGGAGCTGGTCCAACAGTGGGAGGACAGGCTTCGATGAGGGGTCCTGGGAGTGTTCCAGTTAAGGCAGAATCACTCCAGGCTGGAGCGGTGGCGTTCCCATCCCGGAAGCCCAGACCTTGGGGTGGTGGTTCCCCACTGAGGGCTAGTGCTCCTGGCCTGGCTTCCTGCTTTCCCTGTGCCCTGCGCGCCTCTGACCCTGTGCCTGGTCTCGCAGCTTTACCACCACCACCAAGGAGTCCCACTCGCGCCCCTTTAGCCTGCTTCCCTCCGAGCCCTGTGGTCGGTCCTGGGAGGGCCCCCACGTCTGCCCGCGGCCCACGTGAGTGCCCTTCCCTCCCGCTCCGTCTGCCTGAGTCACCAGAGAAAGACACGCGTGCATGTGTGTGTGTGAGTGTGCTGTATGCTTGAGGTTAGGTGGGACCAGGAAGGATGACCCCTCCTATACCCCTAGCCCCTAGGGCTGCAGTCAGGGCCCTAGGAGGGGGTGGCCGGGACTGAGGGCCGCTGGGGTCTCGCCAGGGTCGTCTACCGGACCGTGTACCGCCAGGTGGTGAAGACCCAGCACCGCCAGCGCCTGCAGTGCTGCCGGGGCTTCTACCAAAGCAGCGAGACCTGTGTCCGTGAGTCCCAGAGGGAGCTCCCGCTCCCCACCTTTCCCAGACAGCGCAGAGCGGACCTGGAGGGGCGCGCTGCTGGGCCCTGGAGGGGGTGGGGCCAAAGAGTGGCCGGGGCTTCCCACCAGCTACTTTTCCGCTCCCTGGAGTTTAAGCCCCGCCCCTGGCCGTCTGGCCACGCTCTCCTTGGCGGTGGCAGCTTCACGTCCCCAGTCCCTGTCCCTTGTCCTTGAGATGCAGCTTCTGCATCTCTGTCGCTCGTTACCCTAGCGAGCTTCCCTTTGGGCTGTACCCCTTCCCACCCGGCTGACTGGCTACTGTCCGGTCTCTCCCGGCCTGCCCCCTTCCCGCCCCCCCCCCCCCCCCCCCCCCCCCCCCCCCCCCCCCCCCCCCCCCCCCCCCCCCACCCCCCCCCCCCCCCCCCACCACACACAATGTGACCCGCTGTCTGGAGTCAGTCTGCCTCTCTCTCCTCCTCTCCCCAACCGCTGCAGAGTCTGTCCCAGCCTGCCCTAGGCCCTCCCAGGGCTCCTCTATAAGGGGGCTTGTGCTGGGGCCTCTCTGGGGAAATCACTGCCCCTTCCCAAGTATGCAGAGAATCTGTCACGTTCTGAGCGGGTCGCTGCCCCGGGGTCTGTGTGGGTCTTGGAGGCAGAATTGGTGCTGGGGTGCGGGGAGCAGTGTGGGAGGAAGGTGGGTGCAGGTGCAGGGTACATCTCCCCCCTCACACCCGTCTCTGCCCCAGCGCTGTGTCTCCGGGAGTGTGTCCACGGCCGCTGTGTGGCGCCCAACCAGTGCCAGTGTGTGGAGGGCTGGCGGGGCGAGGACTGCTCCAGCGGTGAGTGGCTGGGAGCTGTAGCCTCTTGCCCTCCTAGGGTCACTGTCCCTACCAAAGCACAGGCCCTGGGGACTTGCGCGGCAATGACCGAAGCCCTTTAGCCAGCTGCCTTTTCTGCAGATGTGGGGTGGGCAGCTGAGAGCCGGGCTGGCCAGAGGCTGGGCAGGGACTGGACTCCATGGTCGTGCTCTGTCCCACAGAGTGTGGCCCGGGAGTGTGGGGGCCGGAGTGTGAAAAGCCCTGCAGCTGTGGCAACAGCAGTTCCTGTGACCCCAAGAATGGGGTGTGTACCTGCCCCTCTGGCCTGCAGCCCCCCAACTGCCGCCACCCGTGCCCTCCTGGTCTCTATGGTCCTGCCTGCCAGTTCAGCTGTCAATGCCATGAGGCACCCTGTGACCCCCAGACGGGAGCCTGCCGCTGCCCCCCAGAGAAAACTGGGCCCACGTAAGTACTGGGGGGACAAACTAACGGGGCTGCAGACATGGGACCACACAGGGATACATGGGGTCATAGGGTCCCAAATGTGAGAGTAGAGTTGTAAGGATGGAGGTCTCTGCCATCCTGATCTAACGGGACCCCATGGTTGACTGGTTTAGTGCGTGTAAAAGGGCCGCCGCCTCTTGGTGTGTGACCCACCCCGCAGCCCTTGGAAGAAAGGCTTAGTGCCCCGCTTCCATGAAGATGACCGCCCAGGACCCCAGTGAGGAGCTGCTGCTCTGCATGCAGCACACGGGTTCCCACGCCTCAGACTGTAGCCCATCGCTGTGGTTTCTTGCCTGCCGGGGAGGCTTGTTAGGGTGGCAACATGGACGAGCATGGTGTGGAGCGGAGCTGTACAAGCGGCAGTGGGAGGAGGAGTCTGTTTCTAGGCACAGTGCAAGGAGCGGTGGGAAGCCACAAGAGGGAGAGAGCAAACACCCCCCCAAACCAAACCCACCGCTAGCAAGTTGATTCCCACTCAAAATGACCCCAATAGGATGGACTAGAACTGCTCCCTGGGAGTGCTGAGACTGTACATCTTCAGCAGAGCAGACCTGCATAGTAGCTGGTAGACTTGAACCACCAACCTCATAGTTAGCACGCCAATGCTAAACCACGACACCACCAGGCTCCTACAAGAGGGAGAAGGTGCTCCGAGAAGGCTTTGTGGTGGAGGGGGTCCCAGTCAGCTGGGGCCTCCAGGACAGAAAGATGCCAGGGGCAGAGGTGTTCTGGGAGGGCACCAAGGTGAGGCACTAGTGTAGGGTGCACAGGGAGCCACCGTGTGCAGCCCACGACTACACGCTTCCCCCACCTCCATTCCAGCACCTGTCAGTTCCGATCCTAGAAACCTGTACTCCCCAATTTCTGCAATGCCCAACAGAGAAGGGGGCTGGGACCCCGAGGACAGGGGTCTGAGTCTCGTGGTCCATCCTTCCTCCTGGGGAGGGCCCGCATGCCGTTATCAGCTCCTGGATAGGTAAGGAGGGAGGCAGGCAGGTACTGCTGACTCTGACCTCCCCACTCTGCCCTGCAGCTGTGAGAGGCCCTGTTTCCCAAGCACTGTCGGTGTCTGCCCCAACACCTGTCATTGCCACAATGGGGGTGTCTGCCAGGGCCCCCAGAGCTCCTGCAGTTGCCCACCTGGCTGGATGGTATGAAGGGTGTGGTGGGAGTCTGGGGAGGATCCTGTGGGTGGTTCTCAACAGGGCTCTGAGAAGAATGGTTTTTTTTTTTTTTTTTTTTTTGGTGGG